GCAATTCATTCAACTGTAAGAGCCTCCTGTCTTTGTCTCTGGTTCTGTAGAACTTCCAGCCCAGTCGGTTGGTTGGTCTGTTTGTCTGTCTGTCTAATAAGTCTCTGCCAACATGCACCAAACTTGTCAGTGTGGGATATCTAGCTTTATAGTGATGGAAGAATGAGTGAAATGTCAAGACAACTGCAGCCTGGGCATAGTAGGGCAAAGGGCTAATTGTAGTTAACAGTTCTTCTGTACTAAGGAAGTGAGTTTGGGTAACCAGAATTGACTCATTCATGTGCTTGCTTTCAAGAGATACCTGTCAGTTATTAGCTGAACAAATGACTTGATTGATCTGTGTCTGCACTTTCCTCAGGTGTCAAGCAGAAATAACAGTTTTACCTTCCTGAGGGGATCCGTGAGGGTTAAATGAAGTTATTTATTTATTTATTCCCGTGGAACCAGGGATTGAACTCAGGTCCTTGTGCTTGCCAGGCAAGTGCTTATTCTACTGAACTATCTCCCCAGCCCCAGTAATTTATGTAAAGCAGTTAGGCTAGGACCTGGCAAATGGTAAACAGCAAGAAAATTTTTAGTTTTATTTATGGATTTTCTTATGCTAATAGGAGTTTCATGCCATGTATAAAATATACTAAATTGACACAGATCTTTTCCCAAAAGAAGCTCAAATTCTAGCAAAGTAGTAAGACCTGCCGTAAAGGAAGTATGTCTCAGAGGAGAAAAGGATAAGGTTCTTTTTTTTTTTTTTTTTGGTGGAACCAGGGATTAGACTCAGACCCTTGCGCTTTCCAGGGAAGCGCTTATTTTACTGAACCATCTCCTCGGCCCCCCAAGGATAAGTTTCTTAGGAGAGAAATAGAGAGTACTAGGGAAATTCAGAGGAGGAAGAGAGCCATGCCAGATTAGGGGTGAGGGCGTGGAATTAAGTGCAGGTTTGTGATAAGCACCTAGAACCAGTTCTGCACATGTAAACTGTCAGTTTCCTCTATCCTCAAATTGAGCCCATACTGTTGACTGTGGAGGGCAGCCAGATTTCCTGCAGGGAAATCCTTTGGTGGTGCGTGCCTGTGATCCCAGCACTTTAGGAGGCTGAGACAGGACAATCACCATTCGAGCCTAGTTTGGGTAACTTAATGAGATTTTATCTAAAAAAAAAAAAAATTACATAAAGGTCTGGGGACATAGCCCAGTGTGAAGGCCCAGGGTTTAATCCTCAGTACCAAAAAGAAAAACTGTGTCAGGGGAGTAACAGTGAAGACCTAGGGAACCAGACCTGGCCACTAAACAGCTCTTGAGTTAGACCACAAACGGTGCCACATGCACCGTGGCCTTTGAGCAGCTTGGCAAGCCCCTCCATGCATCCATTGCTATAGCTGTAAAGTGTGAATATTAATCCTATCTCCTGCACCTGATCACTGTGAGGATTGAGTGATGTGTCTTTTACAGAGCGCTCGGCAGATTAGCCCAGGTATGCAGTATATCCACTGCTGTCCGCCGTGGAACAAATGAGTGTGCTGATGGATGTTGTCAGGGTTTCTCTTCATAAATTCTGTCACAGATACAGAATTATTCAGTCTGCAAGGCAGGCATTAGAGCGTATGTTTTTCAGAAAATGATATTGTTTTATGAATGGGCTCCTTACTGTTACCTTTGTTCAACTAACAAAACATGATTCAAAGCACTGAGGGTGATGCCATTGAACTGACCCATCTCAAAGGCTAGTTTCATTTTCCCACTCCAGCTTTTGGAGCTGAACAATGGCTCCAATCTCTGGTCCTCCAGGCTGAATGTTGCCGCTGAGAAAGCGCCTGACATTTCTCAGTGAGCCTTTGTTAATTCCTCAAGCTGACCTTCTGGAGGAATACAGGGCCTTTTTTCTGACTTTCCAGCATCCTTGGCTTTATTGCCATGCCACTTCATTTTCCTTGTCACATCATCCTCTGGACAGTGGATGGTGACATGGGAGTCAAAATTTAAATAGTGTCTCTATTGCTAAGGCCTTACTTGTGCAAGTTTTGTTGTGGTGGTGGTACTGGAGGCTGAATCCAGGGAGCATTGTATTATATCTCCAGACTCCCCTCCACATCCTCCCCCGTTTGTGTGTGTGTGTGTGTGTGTGTGTGTGTGTGTGTGTTTGGAGATAGGGTCTCATTATGTAGTTCAGGTTGAGCTTGAACCCACTATATAGGCTGGCCTCAAACTCATGAAGATCCTCTGTGTCAGTCTGCCGAGTGCTGAGGTTATAGGTGTGTGCCATCACACCCAATTCTCCAGCCAGTTTTATTCTTTATTTTGAGACAGAGTCCTGTTAGCTTGCTTTGGGTGGCCTGGAACTTTCGATCCTGCTGCCTCAGCCTCCTGAAGAGCTGGGATTACTGTTGTGTGTCACCATGCCGAACTTTACAATTTTGAATTTGTAAGTGTGCGCCAGGCACTTAATCCATATAAGAACCTTGTAGGACAAATAGTATTGTATCTTATGCTGGGCAACCAAAGTACAAAGAAGTTAAATAGCTTGTCCCAAATAGTGTACAGATAGAGGAAGGCCCAAGGGCGAGAAGGCAGGAGTTGCCTTTCCCAACTATTAGCTGTTGCTGGGGGGAAGGAGGAGGATAATTCAGCCTGGTGGTTTTTGTTCCATGACATCTACCTACTTCTTCAAGAGCCT